GGGCGGGCAGCGCCGCGCCGCGCTGCGCTCCGGGCGGCGGGAGGCGCCGCGGCCGCAAGGTGGGCACCCGGGGCTGCGGGGGGGCTGCCTACACAAACTAGCAAGTGCCGCTCCCGGCCGGCAGTGCTGTCTGCTCGCCCCCGAAATGAGGGAGGAAAAAAAAAAAAAAAAAAAAAAGAAGTTAACAGGTGTCTCCTTGGCTGTGGCTATAGAGGAAGGAGGTGTCGTGTCTGCCGTGTTTTAAGCGTTTTGAGAAAGCACGGAGAAAAATCGTTCGACGTAAACCACGCTGTTTCATCCATAACATAGAGTGAAAATTTGGAAGAAGTGCATAAATGTTTCCTCTCGTAGGAAACTGTGCGAGGCATCCAGACTGGTCTGGATTCCTGGTAGTAAAAGTACTTGAATATCTATCAAGCACTGATTGGATTAGAGGTGTTAGTAGTTTGTCAGAGAAGTATTGCTTTTGTAACTTCTTCCTGATTACAGACTGATAGAACCGAACTATTAAACGCGAAGTACTAAAAAAAATTGTATGCTGTCTTGTCTACATAATTCTGTTTAACTTAAAGTCTCCAGAGGTCTCTTTCATTTGTCTAAAAGCCAATCTGACATTTCTGACCCTTGACTTCCCCACTTCACAGACTAAACTATTGTGATTACTCCCTATACTTCCTCGTTAAAGTGTCCGTCAGTTTCCATTGCGATTTAAATATTTCATAAGCGACAAAAATCATACAGAATCCATAAAAAGAAAGAAACTTTAATCTGTTCTTTATAACTCACATTCAAGATTTTTTTTTTTATATGAAGGATTGGTGTGTTTGCTTGAGCAAAACAAGACTCCTCCTTAGTTTCAAATATTTCTTAACTAAGAATGTCCTTAGGTATCATCAGAGCTTATTTCAGGAGTATCAGCTCCCTATTAACTCTCATTTGATAAAACCTACAAAAGTTACCGTGAAACGTTTTCTATCACAGGCATCAAAACTATGGGAAGCAACACAAAAGTTGCTGAACGACAGAGCAGGCAATGGTCAGTTATCTAAATCTGCCTTCTAAACTAATTAGGTTTGAAATATTATGCTGAAGCTTCCTATTTTTTTTCTCTTTTACATCATAGAAATGTTTAGTTTGGACGTTTAAGATTATACAGCATTTTTCTCGGTATTTAATTTAATGCAATAGTGGAAAGCAAGATACTCGGGGCAGTGCCCTTTTTATTGCATCTAGAGAAATATAAACGTTTTGTTCCGATTTCAGGGGATCTGTTGTCGTCTACTTTTTTTGAGGATTCGGCTACGAGTATAAGCTTATGATAAAGCTAACTAACAGATTCAGACTTCAGGTTTAGAAGCATTAAGAAATGTCAGGTAATTAATTAAGCTTCATGTTAGTATCAGCATATATCGATGAATTGTTAGGGCAAATGGGGAACGTCTTTAAACTTCATGATGACTTACTGCCAACTTTCTACGCTTTGCTTCCTAAAGGCGCTCTCTGTGAATTTCCTGCATTTGCATTAGAATGCATTTAGGATGAAAAAAAATAACAGTGCTGAGTATACTTAGGGTTTCGGCTATAATTCCCTGTAGTAACAGGTGACATGCTAAAACTGTTAAAACTACAGTGTGGAATTGCAAGTGTGCAACCCCAAGTGAAAATTGTACTCATTCTTGGTTGAAAGAAAATTATCAATCAGCATACCATGATCAATTATCCCCCTGGCTGCCACACACTGGGATTTGCACAAGGCATTGACATTGAGAAATTCCTCTTTAGAAAGGATGAGCGGACGGGATCCCAAACTTTGCAGCAGCCAAGCTAAGATGCCAGGGTCTCACTTTTTTCTTTCTTTTTTCTTTTTTTTTTTTTTTTTTTTTTTTTTTTTTTTTTTTCCTATTGTTGCTTTACAGCTCATCCAGGACAAAACTAGGAGATTGTGTTTACTTCTCAGTGCATTTTAAAAGATGCTGTATTTTTAAAAAGTAAAAAAAAAAGGCACAAAGAAAAGCAAGTGAGGGAGCCTCAAGAAGAGCCGCACACCCCTCTCCCAGTCGGTGCTCACCGTTGTTGGTAGGAGGTGATGCCCTGGACGTTTTGCGGGTTGCCGTTGGCCGCGGCGCCGGCTCGCCCCATGCCCGGCGCCGCCGGCACCCCCCCGGCCGCCCCGCCGGCCGCCGCCGCCGTCACCTGCACGCTGAAATCCGGGAAGATCCTGATCATCCCCGCGGCTCAGCACCCAGCGAGTGTCGGCGAAGAGGTGCAGCAGCAGCGACTCTCCCTCCGGCGGCTGCAGCAGCAGAGCCAGGCACACTGCAATCCCATTAGTGAGTGGCGGCCACTGTGAGTGAGGACGGGCGCTTTGATGTGAGCGGCTGGGCTGAGATTGAGGAGTTTGGGGGGGCTAGGGGTAAAGGGGAGGGGGGGAAATTTACCGAATTGCAAACATGCAACGCGTGAAGATTTGGGAAGCGAAGTGGAATATCAGAGCTACCAAAAAAAAAAAAAAAAAAAAAAAAAAAAAGGTATGTCGAATACTACTGGAGCTGTAGATATAGGCGAAAAATCCAAGCTGAGGAGGGACGGGGAGGAGAGAGGGGGGCGCAATTACTTTAGCGGTGCAGTGAAAATGATGAGCAGCAAATGTTGCCTTTTTTCCCTCCTCCTTCTCGTCCCTCCACCCCCCACCCTCCACCCAAAATGCAAGTCTTAGAGGATTTCTCTGTCTCAATGAAGTAATAATAAAGGCGGCTGACCACAGTCTGGGCTAGCGCCAACTGTGCGGGAGCTCTGGGGGGGGCGGGGGGGGGGGAAGGGGAGGAATATCCCTGCTCCCAGAGTCCTGAGGAGAAGAGGAAGAGTGGAGGATTGTTGCAGCACAAGTTCTCGCTCTTGGTAACTTGCTTTTGCTCTCCTAGAGGCACCCCGCAGCCCCCCTCCGTCTCTTTTCTTTCTCTCTATGAAGGGACGGTTTTCACAAGCGAGGAAATGCGCCGCTTTTGTGCAAAGGCAGAGTTTGTTCCTTATTCTAGGGAGCTGACTCTCCTCCCCTCCTAGTGTGCAGCAATGTTATTGCGAGTCAAACTTGTAAGGTGTGTGCTGTCTATGCACGCACTGATCCCTATTGCTGCTCCAACATATCAATTATAGGACGGAGCGCTGCGCAGAGCCCCCCGGCAGAGCTCCCCTCGGGGCGCGGCACGCACGGCAGGGCCAGCGGCGCGGAGGGGCCCGGCCTCCGCCGCCCCGCGGGCCGCAACTCCACGGCGCCTTTGTGCCACCCGGGGCGGCGCGCAGCCCCCCGCCTCGCTCGGCCGGCTTTGCCCTCACCCGCCTCCGCCGAGCGCTTATCCCTGGACGCGGCGCTGCGCGGCTCCAGCAGCCCGCCGGCACCGCGCCCCTGCCCGGCCGCCCGGCACCGAGCGCTCCCGGCCGCGGCGCTGCGCGGGGCGGGCGCCGGGAAGGAAGCGCGGAAAGTTGGGCGTTAGCGCGGGT